TCGTCTGAGCAGATGCAGTCACAGTTGGCTAAAATGCGAGCACACCTGAAGGCCATGATCCAGGGATTGCTTAATGCAGGGGTCTCGCTACCGAGCTCTAGCGTGACCCGAAGAAAGGGAAAGAGAAGAAGGGCGAGAATCCTCAGAAAAAGCGAGATGAGGTTCAAGTTCTAAATTTGGTCCTGAGAGGCAACGACCTACTAAGGTCGGATGATCTCTGACCTGAACTCTCACCTCAGCGTTTCAAGGTTGTTGGTCAAAGCAAGACTCGAGGTCCAAAGCGTGTAGACCTTGAGAAGGAGCATCTAGAGGAATCTAGGCAATATGAGCTTCCAGGTAGAGTTCGACCAGCTGAAAAGGGAGCTGGTGAGCGAGCTAAAGGGAAACCTGAGGAAATTCGGAAAGTTCACAGAAGATAATGAGTTGGATGAGCCACCTTTGGTGCAAGACATCTTAAATGCCCCCATCTCGCAGAAGAGCCAACTTCCGATGTTCAACAAGTATGATGGGACAAAGGATCTAGTCGACCATGTCGAGACTTACAAGTCCATCATGGACTTTAACGCATACTCAAACGCAATAAAGTGCAGGGCGTTCTCCATAACTCTGCAAGGACCAATGAGGAAGTGGTTCAAACTACTGGCCCCTATTCAATCTCGAGCTGGAAGCAGCTGCGCAAAGTGTTTGTGGCTCAGTTCGCGACCGACAAGGATGTGAAGCATTCTGATACATACATTTTCTCAATCTGACAGAAGCCGAAGGAGCCAATCAGGGACTACATCAAGTGCTTCCTCTCGGAGCAAATTAAGGTCGAGAACTACACCGACCTGCTAGCTCGGTCTGCCTTCTACAACGGCTTGACACATGAAAAGTTAAGTTGGTCACTAGCAAAGAAGCCCAAGCCGACCTTGAAAGGTTGCTTGGACCGGGCAACGAAATTTATTGAAGTTGAGGACATTATGATGTCCAAGGAAGATAAGTACTCGATGAAGGGTTCGCCTTCTAAGTCTGAGAAGAAGAAGGATGAGAAGAAGAATGGCAATGGTGGAAATGGCGGTAATACTTTTCGCCGACCTGACTATGGTCGCCAAGATGACCAAAAGAGCGACAAACCTCAAAGATTCAGCACGTTCACACAACTTCGGGTCCCTTTGTCTGAAATATTGGCCAACATCCAAGATTTAAACTTGGATTTGCTGGCAGAGTCGAGAAAGATGCAAAAAGATCTCGAACAGCGCGACAAGTCAAAATATTGCAGGTACCACAGGGATCATGGCCATTACACCTCATACTATTATGACCTGAGGCAACAAATTGAAGGGCTGATTCGACAAGGTACTTCAAAAAGTATATCGATAAGCGAGACCAAGAAGAAAGTTCTAATCCTTCCAGCAGAAGAGGGAAAGGTCAAGAACCCCTCCCAAGCGTGAAGATCGACCTCTCGTGATCAATASGATCCACAAGGGCCAAACGGTGGCCAGTCAGGTCACAAGCGCAAGGAGCTCGCTAGGGAGGCAGGACATGAGCGTGCATCTCCCTCACAATAATACGTTGGTCATTGCCCCTTTGATTGATTATATCACTATTTGCAGGGTCCTCGTAGATGGTGGTGCTTCAGTAAATATACTAACACTGTCCACCTACAAGGCGCTCGGTTGGGGCCGAGCTCAGCTGAAGAAGAGTCTAACACCGCTAGTCAGATTCTCCAGGGAAAGTGTAAGTCCAGAAGGTTGTATTGAGCTCCCCATCTCGCTTAGAGAAGGAGAAATCTAGGTTAGCCTGGTAGTTGAGTTCGTAATATTCGACGACAAGTTGACTTACAACGCCATTTTCGACCGTCCAATTCTACATACCTTAGAAGCTGTGTCGTCGACATATCATCAGATGATGAAGTATCCTACTCCCAAGGGGGTTAGGATCGTTCGGGGTGAGCAGAAGACTTCACGTGAATGCTACGCTGCTGCCCTAAAGGGGTCGAACACCTACGCCGCCATCATGGGTTAGAAAGAGCTGGCAACAGACAAACCCGATCTGAACAGAGGAATGCTTGCAGAAGAGTTAGAGCTAATTCTGTTACTCAGTTCCGACAAAACAAGTGAGCATCGAAACCATGCTGGGGGCCAAGGACCGAGCTGAGCTGATCGACTTTCTGAGAACCAATGCTGACGTGTTCGCTTGGTCGCATGAGAATATGCACGACATCGATCCAAAAATCATGGTTCACCGACTTAACAGAGATTCCTCCCACCGACCCGTAAAGCAAAAGTAGCACCTTATAAATAGTGAGAGGAGTGTTGTAATTATTGAAGAGGTGAACAAATTATTGCGAGCTGAATACATAAATTAAATTCTCTATCCCGACTGGCTTTGTAACGTYGTCTTAGTTAAAAAATCAAATAGTAAATAGCGTATGTGTGTAGATTTCACTAACTTAAATAAAACATGTCCTAAAGATAGCTTTCTATTATCGAGAATAGATCAACTAGTACACGCGACAGTCGAGCACGAGCTGCTGACTTTCATGGACGCATATTCAGGTTACAATCAAATTAATATGTATGGATCTGACTAGCGACATACTATGTTCATTATCGACCAGGGCCTTTTACTGCTACAAGGTCTTGCCTTTCGGCCTCAAGAACGTAGGTGCAACCTATCAGCACATGGTTAACAAGATGATCGCCATGCAGCTTGGTCGTAACATGGAAGTATATGTTGACGACATGCTTATTAAAAGCAAGAAGGCTAGGTCGCATCTTACCGACCTGAAAGAAGCCTTTGAAGTACTACGACGATACGACATGAAGCTAAATCTAGCTAAGTGCGCCTTCGGAGTCTCTTTAGGTAAGTTCCTTGGCTTCATGGTTCACCAAAGAGGAATTGAGGCAAACCCAGAGAAAATCCGAGCTATGCTAGGCATAGAGCCTCCAAAGAACTTGAAACAACTATAGTGTTTGAATAGAAGAATAGCTGCGGTGAATCGGTTTGTGTCACGGTCGACTGACAAATGCTTGCCCTTCTTCAAGGTTTATAAATATAACAATTGTTTTTTAAAATTGATGTAAATTATAATTTCACCCACCCAACCTTAGTTAAATACAAATACAAATCTACAAATATATATATGTTTTTAGAAAAAGATAATAATAGTATTCTTATTATGGCTTGGTGGCATTTTTTATAATTTCAAAATTTGATTTCTATCCATTTTAAATTAAAGTTAAGGTTTTTAATTTAATTTTTCATTATTTGATTGTGTTATTAGATACGGTTGATTCCCTACCATTAGGACCATTGTTTTTGCTATTTGTTTTATAAAAAAAATCATATATACCTAATTTGTTACACGAATATACTAATCTAACATATTTATTTATGATTAAAAAAAATGTCACGCATAACCATTTATGTAATATCTAATATATTTGGTCATTTTTTAAAACGTCTTATTTATTTTGGTCATTCCCACCATCGCCTCATATAATTATACTATTAAACTATTTCATGGGCCAATTGGAGTCATCTATAATTAAGTGGGTTCATAGACTTTTCATTAAGTACGAGCTTATTGGGTGGATACCTATCATCTCTAAATCCCTTTGATAGTTGCCATGGAAAAACCAATACTCAATTATGGTATCTACAGATATTTCAGTTATTCTGGAGAGTTTTAGTAATGAGGTGTTTAGTTGTGGAAGATCTTTCGTGGATAGAAAGTTTGTCCAATTTGCAATAACGTAGCTATGTAGTTTAATGAATCCATCCTAGATCATTCTTCTTATGTTCTTCATTCTTATGATTTAATATGCCTGACCCTGGAATATCAGCTTTAGATAATCAAAGTATCTTAAGCGTTTTACTTTTCTAAAGCTTGAGGTTTTCGATTTTCTTGTTTTAATATAATACTAAAATGCTTTTCCATGTGACAAATGCCAAAATTTTAAAAAAGAAAATAGAATATTGTTCGTATGTTTAGCCGGTGATATATCAAAATATAATAAGTATCTTTTATCAACATGAACATAGCTCAATAATTGACATGTACTCTTTCCTTCAAGGTTAGAGGTTTGATCCCCATATCTCAAAATAGTCGTATGCAAAAAAAAAAAGTACCATTTATAGTGTGGAAGCCACAACTAAACTAACTTGACGAGCCCTATTGATGTAATTGTGTGTGGCTCTAAGGGGAATAATAATAGAAGGAAAATACTTATAAGGTTTTAGATGTGAAAACTAATGATTGCCAATTAAGATAAATAAATGTAAAAATATAGAATTTTTCTTTTAAATAATGAGTTGTAAAATTTTCAATATTGGTCAGATAGGTGATGATCAGTCATGACCTAAGTATTTTCTTTAATAGAAATTTCCAATATATGTATGAGGTTAAAATGTTTCTTTATTAATTTAAACATTTTTAGTAAATTTCTCTAATACAACAAATATGGAGATAGAGGAAAGATATTGAGAAGAGTAGCCATATCCTAACAGCTTAGCTAGCTCGTAGCTTTTAGTAAATTTCTTAATTATTATGATTTGCTTAGATATATATATCATCATAAACAGATTTTTTAATATTGTTTTTAATTAAAATATTTTTAAAAATAATGCTAATTTATTGAAAAAAAGGAAAAAATTGCATTATTGGAAACTTATTCCAAAAATAACGCTATCTGACGCCACGTTAATTAAACTTGAGATGGTCGCTCTTTAAGAGATGACCATCCCATGTGGTCGTCTCTTGCCCTTTTTTAATTAACAACATTCCTTTTTTTAATTAATTTATACTTATTTATTTTTGAATATATAATTTTTTTAATTTACAAAATATTTTTATTTAAACAAGATTCATAATATTATTTATATAAACTAAATTATATATTTTATTTTTTCTTCTAGTAACTTTATTAATTTATCCATCTATTTATTTATTCTTATATATAAAATTTATTTTTTAATTTACAAAATTTTTTATTTAAACTCAATTCATAATATTAATTTTATGAACCAGGAGTCGGTATCATGAACATAGGCGTCGATGAACCTGCATCATCTTGTGTCTGTGTAAACGGTGGAATGTCCTCGACGTTATGATAGATAACTTCAGGTACAGGATCGTCAAGCTCTATTGGAGCATCTTGATCTACTTGACGACGTCCTCTAAGCCTAGGGCCACGAGCTGGAGTAGACACGTTATACATCTGATGAAGGCTTTGAAGATGTCTACCGCCAACGTTACACTACCTATTAATATTTTCTGATGACGAGATAATACTTATTTGCTCGAAACACGCAACCTACATAGAAAAAATTAAAAATTGTACCATAGCACGAAATTAAAAATTAAAAATTCATAAATATATATTTAAATTCGAATAGTTTATATAACCTAATTAAAATTTGTACCGTAGCACCAAATGATGCTGCTTTTCGAGTAAGATAACGTCTAGTTATTGATAAATACCAACTCATGTATTATGGATCGCAAGCACCATCATCGTCCATGGGAGGATTTATAATAATATAATCTCTATGCACGCGCCACCTCGCTACGAAAGATGCAGTTTGCCATGTGTTATCCCGAATGTCTATGTCATGTATCCTTGGTTCCCAACTGGACACTTGTGAAATTGCTTGTTTCATACCAAATTGTCTTGTAACTCTATTTGGATGATGTCACTTAACGACATGAAAGCATATGAGTGGACTTACAGTGCACCATACATCATGTCCACTGATACAGTAGTCAGGTAAGCTTGCAAATTCCTTACTATATGGCTCCCAGATTATCTGAAATCGTAATAAATAAAACGTGTAATTAATTGTAAATCGATATATACTTAAAATTTTAAAAATTTGAAAACGTACCAAACAAGGGGACAAGATGTACAACATGTATCTAAATTGGATCAAAATATGTGTAGATACTTCTGTAACACAAAATTGATCCCTCCATCTACAACAATATTATAAGTGAACAATTATTTCAGTAGAACAATTAAATGTGTAAAACAATTCAATAGTTATATCAACATACCGGGCAGCTAATGGTAGATCCACAAGCTCGTGATTGGAGATGTGACGATGTTGTGGAGCCATCGTTGGAAACCGATCCCAAGACCATACTTGAAGAAGTATAATTGGGCCGACAATGTCACGTGAGTCAGAGCGACACGCTTTGCACAAAGTTCGGTACAACCATGCCAAACATGCTCCACCCCAACTAAAACGTCCAGCTACCCCAAAATCTGATAGCAGTGGAAGGAACATCAAATGCACCAAGTTGTTAGACTTGTCGGCAAATAGGCTACTACCGATAAGCTGCATAATATAGGCACGTGCGTATCTGGCAATGGTTTCCTCATCTGCATCATCGTTCAGGTTACAAAATTGAGAAGCTAGCCAAGGTAAACTCAACCTAGAACCTCTGATGTGTCGATCATCTGGAGTCACCCCAAGTAATTGTTGACCGATGCCTTTCCAATCATAATTAATGGGACCGATAAGGGGCTCACCATTTACTGGTAACCCAAGTTGCACCTCTACATCCTGTAGAGTGATGGTACACTCTCCATCCGGCATTTGGAATGTATGAGTCTCCAGCCTCCATCGTTCTACAAGCGCGGTTATCAAATGCCAATCTAATTGGATGAATTTCACTCTAGCAAACCCGTAAAATCCAAAAGCACGTAATGCATGCTTAATTAGAGGATGGAGCGAGATGGAGCGATTCAATACTGCCTCTCTACGTTGGTAATGCAACTCCTCATTACATTGACCTTGCCAAACTAATTCGGATCGATGTCGAGCTTGTGCATACAATATAGATCGATCGGTAGGACCTGGATCTAGTTCCATAATCTAATACCATAAATAATCATTAGTTTGACAAACTCCAACAAAATCAAAATTACAAGATCAAATTAGAACCACAACGTTTATAAAGATTCATCATAAAAGCATCAAACTCCAATAATAAATATCAAATTACAACCACATACAGTTTAAATTAAAAGAGAAATTACACTAACAAATAAATTAACATAAACTCCAACAGTAAATATCAAACTCCAACAATAAATATCAAACTATGATGGTGCTCCCTGTCGTCTCGAATGACATTCTCTTCGATTGTGGCCAAGTTGATTACAAATCGCACATCTTTGTTGAACACTTGGTTCTTTCAAATCCATCTCATTGTGAATACGAGAACTCTTTGATCTTCCAGGCAGTCTCAATAAAGTTGGATCGGCGTGCAAAATAGGCATGTTTGGATGAGCGATCCAATAATCTTCATGTTGGATGGGCTCAAATTGAGGAGCGTAAGACTCAGCGTACTTTGAAAGCTTGTAACAATCCTCAATATAGTCTTCGTACTTAAAATTTAGGTGTGAACAAACTGCCATTAAATGAGAATATGATAATCCATATGTTTGCCACTTGTTGCATGTACATGAACGTTCTACGGTTCTACGGCGGTTATTCTCACTATTTGTATGTTCCCACCTTTTGAATTGTAATAATGATGATTTGTTTTCAAATGAAACACACCAACGACTCGATCATAATGAACTACAGTGTGTTTCGTGGATCTCGCCGCCCATCTAACAAGCTTATCGTAAGCATACCTGTTTAGCTTGATAATGTAAGTTAACATTATTTACACAATAAAGAACATTAAACAACAACCTAAATAATACCTTGTGTATTCTTCATTTCTACTCAAATCATCTCTTGTCTCCTCCCTTTGCTTCTCAAAATATTTTACACATCAGTAGAATGTAAGTTCCTCCATTGTAGTGATGGGTAACATTCGAGCTCCTTTGAGGACTCCATTAATGCATTCTGAAAGATTGGTTGTTATCCACCCATATCTATACCCACCATCATGTGATAGGTCCACTTCTCAACCCCAATGTTGTGGAAGAAATCCATACAAGAGCTATTTTGTAATTTAATTTCTTCCACGTCCTTGTTATACTTCCGAATCTAGAATTGAGAACCAGTACGATAAACCATTTTTTTCAATTATGCATAGTTGTATTTATGGTTGAAGTTGTTAGAAACATGTCGTAGACAAAATCTGTGATGTGATTTCGGTCCGGTCCAACCATTATCTATATTGTTAATAGCAGAGATAATACCCCCATGTCGGTCTGAAATACGACATATCTCTTCATGTGTAACAACTTTTCATAGGTTTTTTAAAAACCATCCCCAGTTCTCACGACTCTCTTCGTCCACAATGGCAAAAGCAAGAGGTAGCAAATGTCCATTTGAATCGACCGATGTTACAATCAATAGCTCCCCCTTATACTTTCCATATAGGTGAGTACCATCTATTTGAAGCACGGGTCGAAACTTTTGAAAGGTTTCAATGCAAGGATCGAATGACCAGAATACAGAATGAAGAATGCTGTTACCTGATTGTCCATAATTTCTAATTTTCCATTCGACAATTGTTCCTAGATTAGTGTATTTTAACATGTACATCCACTGTGGTAGAAGTTGATATGATTTATCCCAGTCACCAAAAATACGAGTCAAAATTTTTGTTTTTCCTTCCCAAACCCTCCTATAAGGAACATGATATCCAAAATTTTCCTCTATCAAATCTTGAAGTGTCGAAATACTTGTAGAAGGATTAGCTCTCATTGTATCACAAAATGCTATGCTTATCATATTCGAATTCAATTGAGTATGACTTTGATTGAATTCTGAGTACAAACAAGAATGTTGGTCTACACATTTTGTAATCTCCCATAGGTTATAAGATTTATTGAGAATCGCACGAAGTCGCCATTTGCATCCATCTTGCCACTTCTTACATCTATTCGTCCATTTGGATGGTGCGGACTCTACAACTTCGTAAGGATGGTGACTCTTCACAGCAAAATGTTTCACGATATGTTGCATAGTTCGTTTATCCTTACAACTGAACCCTTTGTACAACATATCATTTCAGCAGCCATTGGTTGAATCATACAATCATGTTCTGCATTGATATTAATCGTGTCAATGTCTATGTCATTAAATGTTGGAGATGGGATATCATGTTCCCCTCGAGGTCCAATTCATCAAACTCATCATCTGTTGTCGTCTTGAGTTCTATAAACTTATTCTCAGCAGTTAAATCCATATCTTCATCTAAATTAGTCATTGGAGGCACAATTAACTCAGGTTCAGGATTAAGACTTTTACTAGGGTCAATACATTGGCTAGGTCCCTCGATGTCCAATGGGACATTCATTATATTCCTAACATTCACATATAATTCCACTAATGGTGGACATGGCGGTGCAATTGAGAACATTAAATTCAGTGTATTCTGGTTCTCCAATGGAATGAGAATGTATTTAATTGATCGTGATGGTGTTTGATTAGGGTATCTATAGACAAGGTCTAACTTATTCCTGCTCAGATCTACCTTCAGAGACAGTCTAACCATTTCAACAAAATGTTCAAATTCGATACCACTATACACAGTAAAACCTCCACTTGACGGTCCATCATAACCAACTTCATTTACACCATCAATAGTACCTCCATTCGTATACAATACAATCGCTAAACATTTAGCTGCCATTTAAATCCGAAATTGGAAAAAAAGATCTTCAATTAAGTTTTTAATTAAATCTAACTATTCTAATCAAATAATCTAATTTTAATTGTAATACAAAAAAGTATAATATTATAATTACCTAAATTTATTAATAAAAAAATACTCAAGACATATAACTAATTATAAAAAATAAATGTGCATTAATTAATTGAGTCTTAATTAATTAACAATTAATTTAAATCAATTTACAAAATTATAAAACTAATTTATATTAGTAAATAAAATCTAATAAATTAATTAAGATAAAACCAAATAAAAAACAGAACATATAAACACAACATCCTTACATTTTATATTAATTATATTTAAATAAATCCGAATAAAAAAATATGACATATAAATACATAATATAAAATAATATACAAAACATAAATGCCTTGTGGTCCTTGTAATTCCGGGAAAGTGGGAAAGAAGTGGTCCCTTAAAAAAAACAAAAACAAAATAATGTTACTTTATATAAAATAAAAATAAAAAAAACTTACAGTGAGCGATGGACGACAGACGACATCGACGGCGGGAGTGTCGACGACAGCAAATGGGAGCGGCGACAACGGCGGCAAGTCTTGGCAGCGGCCGGGAGGGGGGGGGAGAGGGGTGGTACATCGAAGAAGACAAAAAGTGGGGTAAAAGTTGGGGCACAAATGGGGCAAGTGGGGTTAGGGTTTTAAGACCACACGTGTCCATCATGCAGTGGTCGTCTCTTCAAGAGACCACCAAGCCCCACGTTTTCTACAACAACATTATTTTTGGAATAAGTTTCCAATAATGCAATTTTTTTCCTTTTTTTCAATAAATCAGCATTATTTTTAAAAATAGTTTAATTAAAAAAAATGTTAAAAAAAATCCCATCATAAACATCATATCCATATTTTATGATATGTACATAAAATTGAGACTTTAACAATTTTGCCAACAACTATATTTAAACATTGATTGCAATAATGGCAACCATGCAAATAACAAGCATATAGAAAATGTGAATATTATAAAGAAATAATAAACTATATAGTTAATATATATCTAGTTTGCAGGAGTTCATGTTAGGGGCACGAATGCATATAAATATAATAAAAAAATCAATTTTACACTTGAACGTAGCGGTATGTATCAATTTGCACATCACACTTAGATAAGTGCTGAAATTTCACTTGTGTTGCTAATTTTACTCTTTGATAGATTTTCATTTGAAAATTGGTTGAAAAAAATTTTCTTGTTTTTAAATGAGTTCGAAAATATATATTTATGGTATGAAATAATTGATAGAATTTAGATAAAAACTAAATTATAGTTAATTTTTTTGTTGCTTAAATTTTTAAGGTTTCGAACACTACTACTAAAAAACACTGCTACTATGAATCGAACTCCAAGCACGGAAGGAAGGGCACGAACAAAGGTTAAAGATTCAACCAATGGGCCAAACACTACCTTTTTAAACAATTACCATACTATGTAGTATTTAACTCAAATCCAGGGGGTTATCATTGTCATTTGAGTTATATGCCTGTTTGGTAATGGTCTCTTTTCTTGTTTTCTATTTTTTGTTTCTAATTTTTTTAGAACTACAAACAAAAATTCGTTCGGTAATTTCTTGTTTTTTTTGTAAAAAAGAAAAAGAAACAAAAATACGAGGAAGTTGGTGCCAACAGACCACATCCAGGAATCAATGTGAAAAATACACTATTTATTTCATAAATAGTTCTCCTAAACATTAGAAAAAAAACGGAAACAACAAAAACGAAACTACTTTTAGAGTTCTAAAAATTTTACCATTTTTTGGAAATGTTTCTCAAAATTTAGAAACGAGAAACATGATGAGTTATCCAACAAAATCTGTTTCTCAAGAAATAAAAAGAGGATAACTTACCAAATGGGCTTTGAATGTCCCATTTGTAGCCACACTAATAGTAAAAAAGCAACTCTCTAATCAGTCTCATAAATTATGTGTACATCTAAAATTAAAAAATTAATACAAATAGGTTATTCATATCTACAAGAAAATGGGACTGTTTCGACCAACTTTTATCGAAGGTTATTGAAAACTTTTGAAAAACAGTATATGTATGAACAAATATGTGCAACCCTAAAAAAATATATGATATTTTATCAGAGGTTTATAGAAAACTCTCGAAAATTATGCATTTTTCTCAAAGGTTATTAAAAACATTCGAAAAAGGTTAACCTTTATTGAAGTTATTTTGAAAGACCTTTGAAAATTATTCACTATTTTGTAAAGGTA